TTAACCAAGATGGTCTTAATCAGCTAAAATGTTTCCTCATAAATTTTTCCCCTTTCTTGTGGTAATGGTTCCTGTGTAGACCAAATTAGATCCAATTTCCATACCTATCTTAAAACTACCAAGCTTAACATCTTACCCTGGGCAAGAAGAAAATGAAAGAAAAAGTGCCTTACTTTGAACAGAATTTGCAGCATATAGTAGCTTATTTTGCAATACAAATAACATGAACAACTATGTTCACAAACAGACAAGTAATCATGTGTCAAATTTAGGTGTCAAGTTATGTAAACTAAGATAAGATTATAGTTTTATTCTTTTATATACCATGGAGCCCCCTTTTACAAAAACAATGTTCTTTGGACTTTTCTTTGAATTCTTTTCCTATTTGGTAACAGTTTGCTTTTTATGATATGATGTCATAGTGTATTTTCTTCTAAAACTATAATGACTATCTATTTATTTAATTAGTTTCTAAACTTCACTCCTACTAATTAGACTAATATCTCACGCATTCTTCGCCACCAAAGAAACAAGATATTTCAATTCTGAATTAGATAAATTTCAAAAACAATATCACTGCACACTGAAACAAAGTATGAAGTTCCCTAAATAAGAGATAGCGAAGTTATTGGTTATCACAACATGTCAATTTCATCAGCCAGAATGATATCTTGCAGCACCTAATTTTTTTAGATTTTTTTAAGATAAAAGAGAATATATATATTTTTTTAAAGAAAAGAAAAAATATTATTAAAAAAAGATAATAAAAGAATATATTCTAGAAGGTGTTACATCGTTCTAGGACAGAACAGAAGAAGAATAAAAAAAGCCAAACTTCATAGCAACATAGTTGCTAAATCCCTTTTCAAAGTAGGTTAAGGGAATATGAGTCCTAACCCAAAACAAAGCCAAAAACACCATCCATTGATCAAATAAACAAGTGAAATTGGAAACGACCATTAAATACTTTGCCATTTCTTTCCCACCTCAAAACCCACAAACTAGCAAAAATAGCTCATCGTAACATTTTGTGCCTTTTGCCTACTAAACCCATGCAGAGAAAGAGGTAGTGAAGACTTTAAGAGAAGAGAGACAAGCAACTCGCACCAAAGATATTGAATGCATCACACAGAATATGGTAGAATGCTCATAAATATCTGGAGATAACACATGATTGGCCTGTGTGCCTGAATAAATAATGCATTTGTTTATTCTTCAATTATTTTATAGGAGCTTCTCAACTATTAAACAGCTATTTAATAATATTTCAAGAGAGAGGCACATAATTTTTAGAAATAAATTATATGTAAGATCGGGATCAACGAGTCTTTTTTCATAGCAGTACCTGAGACTGACATCTTAGACCAATTTGGCCATCTTGACTTTCAACAGGCTACCACCTATCTCAAGAAGATAATATTAGTTCAAGTTTTTAATTGTTTACGTATTTTTCCATATTCAACAGTAGAGAAAACAGCCACGTAACAAGCTAGCTCAAACATTAATCAATATATCTATTTTTTTTCAAAGTTTCCATCCAAATTGATGGAATGCAAATCAATGCATACAATTCAGGGTATAGAAGAATATGAAGTACCATGAAATAGAATGAAGGCGGAATGAAGAGAAGAATCTCAAAATTTTTTCCATATTAAACAGTAGAAGACACAGCCAAGCAACAGGCTTGCCCAAACAATAATCAATATCACCGTTTTTTTCCAATTTCCATCCAAAATGATGTAATACAAATCAATGCACAGAATTCAGGGCGTAGAAGAATACAAAATACCATGAAATAGAATTAAAAAAAAAAAAACATGACTGAAACCAAGAGAAGAATCATCATATTGCTGTCTGAAGTGTATAAGTAGCAAAACCACTCAAAGGCCCATTTTCCCCCGAACTTCTCACCATCACCAACCATACACACAACAAACACCTTGACTTTGCTAACACTAAGCACTCACCACAATAAATGAAATGTATTAACAAGGCACAAAAAAGGCAAAAAGGATAGGCCCTTAAATCCTCCTCAAGGGAGAGGGAAGACCCTTAAGCAAAAAGGATAGGCACTTGCCACCATGATTCTCTTACCATAAAAATAGTACTCACACAATCTATCAAGGGGGGGAAACAGACATGCACCCACTTGTACAACTAATCTCTAACCAACAAAAATCAAATCTTAGCAGTAACACAATGAATACATCCCACTTAATACAACAAGAATATAAATTGGAAATGGTCTGAGCTCCACGGAATCGTAATATAATGGAATGCTAATTTCCTCAATCTAATCACTTAGAAGTACATTGTATCATGATAATGAAAGAGAATAAGTTAAAAGAGTGGGCATACGATAAGAAGGCATCAAAGTAAGGACCAATGCAGCAAAAGATATTCCGCAAGTCATTCTAGTGCCTCCATCCCCTTGAGTGACCATCCTCCACGTACGGCTCAACAAATCCTATGAACTAAAATAGCAAAAAGCACGTCAAATGAAAACCTTTGGCATAAAAATGATAAAGGTGAAAGTTTATCCTGTCAGAAGTATTGATATTATGGGTACAAAAAGGCCATTGCATAAAACTTTATAATTTCCGTATGGTATGTAAATCTGATTTAAAACAACGATACTAGAGTAGGAGGAATGACACAGACATGGGAGTTGAGAAGTTGGTTGTTAGCTAAAAAATTAATGGTCAATCTACAGTTTTCGATCAAGACATTAGATATGTATTTTCTTTAAGTCATGGTAGACATGTAAATCAATACAAAATTAAATGTTAGTTTGTTATTTTAAAGTGGTGACAGTACTATATAGCTAACATGATCTCATCTATCTCATAATCTTGACCAAGCCCAATAGTCCAAGAGCAAGTAGTAGACACATGATGGAGTTTCCTTGTGTATTTATACCTCGAAGGTTTAACAGAAAACATAAGCAACTGGATGAGAGATTTGAAATAGAAAGAAAGAGGAATGAAGGACATGCAAAGAGATAGGTGGGGAACTTGTTGCCCCATTTGTTAGCACTGATTTAATAGTATGTTTTCCTGTTTCCAGTGTGAATACTGTGTTCTGTCATTTCTGATGATTATAGGTAAGGTAGCATTTGTTGCACAACTAAAATGAGACTTAACAGGTGGAATACTATAACTGAAAATCTGGACAACCTAGAGTTCCACATGCTGTCAAACAGTTCAGTTACAGAGATGCAGAAAAACTATTCTTGTATCTTGTCTAACAAAAGTTCAGTTACAGAGATGCAGAAAAACTTTTCTTGTATCTTGTCTAACAAAAGTTCAGTTACAGAGATGCAGAAAAAAATTTTGGTAAGCTAATGGACAACAGAACAGAAGAGGTGTACAATCACCCAAATATTCCCATGTTAGTGAGAAAGAGAAACACATATATAGAAGAGAGATTGAAAGATTTTGGTCAATTTGAGAAAAACTAATTTCATCCTGTTCTGTGGTGTCAAAATTTTTATCCCAAATGCATGGAAGTTGTTCCATTTCACAAAAGAAAATTGTCTAGTTCAATCTGTAAATAACCACCAGATAGTAAGAACTAGATAAGTTTGTCCTGTTTAACCTTGTCTAAGTTTTGTTCACTAACTGCTACCTAAGCGCAATACTAGAACCTGTCTGGAGTAGACAATCCAACCCCATTCCATATATTCAGCCTGGCCTTATGCTTCACACCAACTAATTCAAAATTTTAATATGTTTTTAACCTCAAGGACCATCTCATCTACATGTCAATACATTTTCGAAAGAAAGTTTCTTCGTACGTAAATACAAAACATAATTTTCTTCCTTTCAAAGAAGAATATACAAACATTCTTATAGCTCAAATATACCTTCGTTCCATTGTTGGACCATCGTGCACCATAACCATCAGCTACCCTAATTTCAAACACAGCTCCATGTGGTTGAACAACATGCACATTAAGCCAGCAACAATTAGCTATCAAGTAATATATGACAGCCACTGCATGCTTATTTTTATCCAAATCTGGGGAGTCAAAAAAATAGCAACAATAAGAAAATAGTGAAATAAGAACATAATCATCACGGACACATGGAAGAATACATAGACATACTTGCACACATCACACTTGAATATGCATATATAGATATATGCATGAATGAATA